GTTAATTGCTGTCGTGGTGGTCGGTCCCTTACTCCCTCTCCTCACTCCGGTTTGTGATCCTGACTTCCTGCCTTCTATTCGGTTGATTGAGCCCCACTCGTAAGGCCTGGCAAGCTGCCGGGAGAATCGTGCAGCGGTTTATGGAAGTTGGTAAGGTGTGCCAGGCTTCGAGCGTTTCCCTGGCTGTCTGATTGGTACCTCGGCGTAGGATTTCGGCGTTCTGGAAGGCAAGAGTGTGTCCATAGGCAGCACAGTGATCTGTCGCCAGCTAGAGCTGGTCCATCCTCCTCACTGCCCTTTCGTGCTCACTCATGCGGGTCTATGGTCGCTTTCCGGTCTCCAACGTAGTTCGCTTCACGGGAACTGCACTGGACACGGTAGACGACGTTCATTGTTTCGCCTCGTGACAGAGTGGCCTTGGGTCTCATGATGAGACGTTTTATTGTCGCCTCAGGTCTGTGTGCGACGCCGACCCCCAGTGGATGTAAGAGACGAGGGACTGCTTCGGATACGTTCTCGATATACGGTATTGCTTGCCACACTTTTGGTTGTTCTGTCGTTGGCCTTATAGCCTTCTTTGGCAGTCTGCTACGTTCGATGAAACTGCGAGGGTAACCATTGGAGATGCACATCCACTGAAGATAATGGAGTTCGGTTGCTTTGCCCATTGTCTTGTTGCACACAGCTACGTTTGTGGCACAATGGGTGGTTACTGTAGTAACTGAGGACCTGACGTGTGTTGGCGACCTTTCGGTATACCGTCGTTCTTAGGCTTCCGTTAGTTTTGCGGTGGACCAGGACGTCTAGGAACGCTAGTTGGTTGTTGACTTCTGCCTCCATTGTGAACTGGATGTTCGGAAAAACAGGGTTCAGGATCGCGTGAAATTCGGAGACCATCTCCCGCTTGAGGATGACAAAGGTATCGTCCACATACCGTGCCCAACATATTGGTCTATGGATTACGAACACCAGCGTCTCTAACTTTTGAAGGACGGCCTCATCAATGAAACCAGACAGCAGCGAACATATTGGAGTTCCTTTGATTTGTTCATAGACCGTTTCTCAAAGGTAAAATAGGCCTTGAGACAAAAATTGAGCACCTGACTAATATGCTACTGCTCAACTTTGCAGTTCATTATGATAATAAATATATATTATCTGCGTATCGAAGCCACATTTTTGGCCCAAAAGCTTACATAACATCCTCATATAGTTGTTCTTATAACAGTTCTGCGAGTAGACCCGATATTTGTGAGCCCATTGGGGTGCCCTTAACCTGCTAATAAAAATTTCCATCGAATTGACAGTGGTTCTTGAGACAGAGTCTAAGCATTTCTGAAACGTGCTGCATTGCAGGCGTCGGGTTACACTCTCAATTGCCAGGTCATTTGGCAGTGAGAAAAATGGGGCAACCACATCAAACGATGGGATGCACTCATCGGGACTTCCTTTTAGGATCCTGTGGAGGAATGACTACAAGTCTGTGAAGCTGTATTGTGATCCACCAATGGGATGCGACAGGTGCCTGTGCAAACATTTGGTGAAGTTGCAAGTGGACGATCCAATGAGTGGCACTATGATCCTCAGTGGTGCATCTGCTCTGTGCGAGTTTGGGAGTCCATAAGCACATGCAATGCGGGGGTTACTGACGGTCATAAATCTGGAGTCATGGGGGGCTTATGAGTTTCATTTGAGTGAACGCATTCATCTTCTTCTTTACAGCTGCAGAAGGCATTTTATTTGGATTCTCAGCGAGTGGTGTGCAGGCTTCCCCGTCGCTGAGGTCTTGGTTAGCCTTATTGACGTAATCAGTCTTTTCCATGTTAAAGGATGCGTCGCCATCTGCGTTATCTGTCTTTGGAGACTGTCACCCCTTTTCTTTACCGATGGGTAAGACTTTGTGGTGGTGGTTCTTTTGTCCCCTAACGCCTCCAACATCGACGCACTAACTTCCGCCTCCAATGCCGCTTCGACGACCGCCAATACTACCATCCGGAGTCCCATTGAGTCGCCACCCCCCTTCCCCCAACAGTTCTCCCTCCCCTTCTCCATCCCAAAAGCCTGCCGTAATTATGTGCCTATCCTTCTTTCATATACCAGTTGCCTGTCTTTCAGTGTCTTTCCTGTTGAGCCAATCAGTCTAGTCTGACCATTTCACTTTCTCCTCTGTTCTTTTACTTTGGTGGCGGGTTGGTGTCGCCAATTTGAAAATTCACGAGTACAACTGTATTGTTTTTCCTACGAGCCTTCTCCCTTTCTTATATATGTTATTATGAGAAGAAAATGTGATCACGGGAACCATAGTTTATTGGTCCGACGTTTCAAAAGCCTACAAGCTTCTGTCGGTGGAGGTGAGTATCGTATTAATTCTCACACTAATTATAGGGGATGCAAGCCATGTTAACACGGCGTTAATTATACGGGTTATTCTTAACAGTGTGCACTGGGGAAGTTGTTAACAGGTTTTAGCGTTCATCGCCGCATAATTACAGGGGTAATTTTTGTAGTCGCCGGGGTGTAGAGGGAGTGAGGGTGACTACTGTTAATCCCCATGTCATTCAGTGGGGCTGGCGTTTGAACGTTG